TCTTTCTTTCTTTCTTTCTTTCTTTCTTTCTTTCTTTCTTTCTTTCTTTCTTTCTTTATTCATTCATTTCCGTTTGGTTTCATCTATAAAAATCAAAGACCTCCGTAATAAACACATATTTTATCATGTTTCCTATTCTAACAATTCTTGTTCATTATTAGGGTTGGGCATAATCYTATCGTGTGCAATTAATCTTCAGAAAAACATTAATCGATTATTTTTTGACACTTGACGATTAATACGATTAATGTCACCAGGCAGACTGACTGGATATTTCCCCGGTCAGTCCGCTTGGTGCTCCTCTCCGCTTCAAATATGTCGAACATTTAAACAAAAGTTCTGTAATTTATTTATCTATCAACACAATTTAAAATTTGAAGTATAGCCTGAAGTCTGATTTTGACACAATTTGGAAAAGATTTGATGAAAAGATTTGAAAATGATGTTTTAGCACCAACAAGCTGATTCCCAAACAGACAATAGCTGAAAACTGGGCTTTTGGTCAATAATGAAACGAAGGTTGAAAATTTCTGAAGTCATGTGTTGAATCTATGTTGTTTTTTTCCCCCAGATTTTTAATGACGTGACTTTCACATACTGTTCCTCTACTAAACATACTTGTTTGCTTTCCTCAGAATGTGAAGTGCCTGTGAAATGGATATCATTCAAATACAAAAACTCAAAAAAAAAAAAACCCTTTATAATTAAGTAGCTTGGCATAATGCACACAATTTTACCAATTTTGTCATAAACTGTAATTTTTCCCTTTGAAAGTGGCTCAGCTAAAGTGAAACAGGAAGTGACATCAAAGGGGAACTCTTTAAGAAGGGGAACATGCAAATATCTTACCAGCTGTTCATCTCAGCAGCGTGATTTTTTTTTAGCAACATGTTATTAATGTTATCTTCCCAGAAATGCATTCATATTTATTGCAAATATATATATATATATCACAGGCACTTTAAAGCACACACTGCAAATAAACCATGGTCAAGTATACGAACTAAATGAGAGAAAGGCAGACAAAGTGTTAAGAAAGAAAAAACACTTTAAAAGACGATAATATGTCTTCTTGGATTCAAAATATTAGTTTAAAATCTTTTTCACAGAACAATAATTGTCTCTTGTTGTTTCTTTACTAAGATTTTGACAGTTTTATCCACCTAGTTGTCATTGCTTGACAACTTGAAGTAAGAATCTTCAGGCCCCGTGACGCTCTTCATCCCTCTCTCTGCTGTTTTTCCACCACAGGGGGTTTCTGATGCCTTTGTCACCATCTACAGACGAGATGGTCTCACCGGTCTCTGGAGGGGGGTGAACGGGGCCGTGCCTCGGGTCATGGTTGGATCGGCAACTCAACTGGCAACCTTTACCTCAGCCAAGGACTGGGCGTCTCGCTCTCAGGTGAATACGATGAACATAACTCGGCAGCTGCTTCCTGCCAGCAGATGGTCACAAAGTTTCTCTCTGTCTGCGCAGTGGTTCAGTTCAAACAGGTGGCTCTCGGCGTTAATCGCTGCCTCCATCAGTGGTGTCGCCGTGGCCATCACCATGACGCCGTTTGATGTCATCAGCACTCGGCTCTACAACCAGCCAGTGGACGAGTTTCGGAGGGTGAGTTTAGATTTAAAGGGATCCATGACTAGATGTAACATTAGACCCTATTTAATAAACATATATTTTAACTGTAAAATAAAGACTGTAAAAATACTGTAGGCTGTTCAGTTTTTTATCATTTTTAAACTAAAAATTTAAAATATATTACACGAACGGGGCCATTTTATTTACATGCAAAGCATTCTGGGTAATTGATGACATGGATAGGTCCTCGGTGTGAGGCTGCTAGCGAGCTATATCCACCCTGAAGGTTAATCTTGGACAATATCTGACGATCGGCTCTTTAAACTGAAACCAGAGAGTGTTGACAGAGAGGAGAAGGTAGAAATGACTCAGCCTGTAATTGAAAATATAAATGGAGGACAACAGTTTAGCTTGTTTGTTGCACTAGCACTGAGCTAATACATAAGGCAAAATAGCGTCAGCGCTAACGCTGAAGCTAACAGGCTAAGCTGAGGTTCTTCCATGAAGCAGCTCTGTTGTCCTCCATCCARATTTTCAGTTACAGGCTGAGTCATTTCTACCTTCTCCTCTCTGTCAACGCTCTCTGGTTTCATTTAAAAGAGTCGATCYTCAGATATTGTCCAAGATTAACCTTCAGGGTGGATATAGCTCGCTCACACCGAGGACCTATCCATGTCATCATTTACCCAGAATGCTTTGCGTGTAAATAAAATGGCCCCATCTGTGTTAAAATAAAAACTAAACATCCTACAGTATTTTTACAGTCTTTATTTTACAGTTAAAATATATGTTTATCAAATAAAGTCTAATGTTACAACTAATCYGGGATCCCTTTAAACAGAACCTCCTCCTGCACAAGACGTCTGCAGGTTGAACAGATACTAAGATGTTGTTTTTGTCTGCTTTCTAGGGGCGCCTCTACCAGGGGTTTTTAGACTGTATGCTGAAAGTGTGCCAATCTGAGGGTCTGCTGGGATTATATAAAGGCATGGGCCCTGTTTTCCTGCGACTGGCCCCTCACACGATGCTCAGCATGCTGTTCTGGGATCTGATGAGGCAACAGGCAGTCAAAGACTACTAGAGCCTGCAAAACATGTGCCTTAAAGGGATCCTCCACTGATGGGTGAACTTTAAGTGGAAACAAAAAAGCTGGACATTTCTGAAAATCACGTCTTTTCTTCTTTTTGTTGATTTACGTACGAACACTGGTGTTTTTGTGATAAAAACCAAGATGGAGTCAGCAGCCGGTTTGCTCTCGTTGTGTTTAATTATGTAACACCTTCTTGGCCGCCACCAGTAATTTGTTTTCGTCTAACGTTTCTCTCTGCCCCTGAATCAAGAAATGATCCGACACCCGAACGCTCGTGAAATGTTTCAGCAGTTTTTATTACATACGTTAGAAAAGATCAAACAAATGCAGCGTAACCRTTTTTTTTTTTTTAAATCCAACACTGGAAAGTGCTGGTATAAAACCAAGCTGTGCTCCTCTGTTTCGAGCTTTTGGGCTGTTAGCTGTGGATTTATATTTGTTTTACAAATCAGAGTGAGTTGTCAAGTGTCTTTTTTTACTCTTTTGGAAAGCAAAAAATGTAACAAGTAAAAAAAAGTGTTTTTAAGCGAGACACAAGCACAAAAGACGGGTAAACTAAGTATTTATGATGGTACGTGTTGTATGACTGTTTTAGATGCATTTCTGTTAAATCTTTGAACTGTGTAAAGTCACAGCTAAGATGTAAGCAGTTGTCATGAATTTTTCAGTCTGAGCAGAGCTCACGGTGTTCAACAAAGTGGAGGAACGAGTTTGAATGACTCAATAGTTCTTCCATTTTTAGAATCAGGAATTACTGCTGCTTGTCAGGTTTTACTGTCTAAATATACTCACCTTGTCATTGACAAAGGAGAAACTCTGATGGTATGAGCATATGCAAATGAAATAATTTGATTTGAGGCCTTTATTACAGCTGTCTGACACTTCAGGCCTTTTAAATGCAGGAAATAATCACAATAAACATTTTGATTTTGTAAAAACACTTTTTATTGCTTAATCTTTGAATAATCTCAGCAGCACCGATGGTTAAACGTTATGAAATGATTCAGCAAAGACTGAACACATTTTGACCATCAAATTAATTAAAAACTCATTAACTTTAGGACTAAAACTAGAAATATTATTTTTAAACTTGACTCTTAATCGGGGTGAAGTTTTATTTCAGAATCAGAATATTGGTCCTCGAGGGAAACTAGTCATTATAGCTGCAACTGTTCAAGTTAATTAGAGAATACAAGATAAGCACACTAGAATAAAATAAGTATAAAACACTATGGAGAAAAACAAAATAAACAGGATGTATAAACAATATGAAATATAAACAAAAATATAAACAGCATGGTTAGGTGAAAAATATCCCATAATATGATATAGGAAGAGAAGATGAAGGGATATTGCACGTTTGAATAAAGTATCGTAGAATAAAACGCACCGATGGWATAAAGTGACAGGTGACCTGAGGGTTCACATGGACCTCAGTCTATGAGTTTATTTGATTTTAATCATTTTTGAAAGGACTTTCAGCCTCTTTTATTGGAAAGTGGTTACAAAGACAGCTGGAGGCTAAATCAGTTTAACCTTTGAACCTGTTGATCAATAAAATCAAAAATAAAGAGAACATTACTTCTTTACCAAAGGTCTTCATTCTGAACACTGATGGAGTTTTAGTCTGGGACAGAGCTTTAAAAAATGGCAGCATGAGAAGAAAATCTTAAAACTGGTTTTAATTTTTGTTTAAAATTACAAAGAAACAATGAAGTTGTTTTTTCTGTTCTCTTGGATCCTGGACATCTTTCCATGGACACCATTTGATTCAAATCCTGTGGACAGCTTTTGTCAGGGTCAGTTCATGTTTTTTTTTTTACTTAAAACATTGTTTTCTCCATTTGTTGTCCTGTAATCGTCCTGTAGTATGACTTAGTTTATTCATGTTGTTGTTTATGTTTAAAGGCCTCATAGGTGCGTGTGGAATATCAATACTCTACGATCTGATGAGAGTTTACAATTTTATTGAAGCATGCAGGTGAGATCATCCTGAGACAAAAAAAGAAAGCATGGATTTCAAGTGAGAAGTTTTAGAGGATTCTTAGTGARGTTTCTTTTCAGTGATTCTGACCGTGAAAGTAAACAGAGGCCACCCTTGTTGAGAAACCCTCTGAGAAGGAAATGGAGAGCATCTCTTCAGTTCTGGTGCCTCAGTGTCGTCCTGTCTTTGGTGGGAGTGAGGGTGGCCTCGCTCGTAGTGCTGGAGTTTTTGCTCAGAGCTGCTTCTGCGTTGACATCACCCGGATCGGTGAGTTCCTCAGGTCGGCTGAACATCTCAGATCAGTGTTTGTTAGTTTGTTCTACATGTTGTGCTTCTGTGTGATTTAGGATGCTAGAGGTGTGGACTTTCTCCTAATCCAGAGCCAGTTCTCCCTGGGTTGCAGCCTCACCTGTACTCTGGCCTTCCTCCATCAGGGGGCTCCACACAGCTCCTTTAGTTTGCTGCTGGCTGCTGGCCTCAGCTGGGCCCTGGCCAGCTACAGCAGCAGTCTGTGGACCCATGTGGCTAGACTCTACCCACTACACAGCACACAGCACTACTGTGGGAAATGCATCAGTCTGTTGACCTCTGGACACACCATCCTGGCATCGCTGCAAAAGCTGGTGATTTTGACCTTTGCTGTAGCATCTTTGGCAGCTTCTTCTACAGTTTATGAGCACTTCCTGAATCACAAGGATGCTATAAAGTTCTGGACGCCACTTACTGTCTGCTACGCTATGTTGGTGGTTTATAATCAAGGTAAATAATCCAAGCAGCTACAGGTTTTTCTTTTTCCACACTTGAAATATGAGGGTTTGTTTAAAACTAAGCAGCAGAAATAGAAACAGAAAGTAGTGTAAAAAAACTGTTGGTACCAAAATGCAAACTGAGAACTTAAAAATGAATAAAAAGCATCATTAGATAAAACAAAAATAAGCAAATATGACCATTTGTCAAGAATAAATTAAACTAATATATGAATTTACCATAAATAGTAATAATCCAAATGTAAAATTAGTTTAAAGTTTGAAGGTTTTTGAAAAGTTTTTAAAAGTGCAATTTTATTCATAAAACATAATTTCTTTATACACTAGATTTTCATCTTTCAACATAAAAAATGTCATCTGATGTGTGGATAAACTGCTGCAAAATAAGTATAATGGTTGCTAAAATTATAACCCCTTATTTTGTGTTTAACAATATGGAATATTTAAAAATGAGTAAAAACCATGAACAAAAAGTCAACAATATTCCTAGCTAATTAAATTTCTTATGTAAACCAAATTAGTTTTAATATAAACAAACGTAATTGTTTTTCAGAATCACGCACTGCTTTTTATTTGCAGAGGAGCAGCAGCGGATGACGGGTTCAGAGACCCTCCTGCGGACGGTGGTGTTACGACTGGGGGGGTTACTGATGCTCATGATGCTTCTGGGCAGCTGGTCCGATGTTCTTCACCTCCTCGTCTCTTTCCTGGGAGAGGGYGTTTGTCTGCTGCCCTCTCAAGATCTGCTGCAGGCTGCTTTAAAGGCATGAGCAAATCACAGCATTTCTCCCACTTTATTGGTTTTGTAAACGACTCATTATATTGATTGTGTTTTAGGAAGAAGAGACGAGCTCCAGCAAAGAGGAAAAGAGGCCCAACCACAACGCAAAGACCAGAACATTATCAGATGACGGTCGATGGTCCAGTGACTCATCTGAACCAAGAAGAGCGAAGACTCGTGATGATAAAAGAAATTTTAGTGATAAGTTCAATGACGTAAAGTGATTAATTCATGCTGTATACATTGTCTTAATCAAATCAAGGAGTAACTCTGTGTGTAAATTTGTTTTCAATTTGAGGTGAACAATTAAAAATGTAATTATTTTAAATAAAGCATTCTTTGAAAAAGGTTTCTTGATATTTTTTTTATTTTAAGCACTTTTCTTAGATGTTTATCACAAAAGCCACAAGAGGACACTGTATATGTTTGTAACCAATTATGGAGGATCTATTAGTTTTACTTATTGGCACGAGTTAAAGTGAAAAAAGTTCAMTTTATTTGCCTTGTACCACCAAGAAAGGTTTCACTGAGCAACTCTGTCCTCAGTCTGTCTGAATTTTTTGCTGTTATAAGGTCCAGTCAGATCACTCAGGACGGATGTTGGTACCAAGAACCTTTTTTAAAGGAGTCCTGTTCAAAATGGCTCAAGAGGTGATTTAAAAAGAGAAAGATAGAAAAAAAACCAATTACAAAATAAAGGATAAAAGAGGATATATGGAATATAAAAACATTCAATCCACATGAACAACAAACACTCACCAGCAGGATGCTGACTGAACTCGCCTCACAGTTAAAACACAGATGTGATGATTTCCTKAATCAAAGGGGGCAAAGTGTCGTTACAGCAGCGGTGACAGAGGAGAAACTAAAACTTCCTCATACTGTGGAAGCTGTTCAAACGTTCAGAAGCTGCAGATCTGCTTCAGTTATTTATCTGAGAGACAAAGTAAATGTCTCGGCAGGATGAGAACTTCAGTACGGAAGCTGAGAGCGGCCGTTTTCCGCTTGTAATTATTTTCCATGGTTTTCTTGTGATAACAACATAATACTGTATGTTGTTATCACGAGATAACAAGGACCGTTTTCTCGTGATAACAACTTATGGCTTTCCTTGTTTATCATTCAGTAACCATGGTCCGATCCCCTCAGCTGGTGACCGATAAAGTTTATTATATCATCAAGTTCAAGATGACTGTGTAAACACCTGCTGAGCTGCAGGCGGGCCAGCCGTCTGCTTTAATGATGAGGGTCGATCTGAAAGTTATCTGTACAAGACAAACATCACAATTTGAGCCTGATGATACAAAAACAACACAAAATTATYAACAATTAACAGGTTGACTTCAGGCCCAGGACACTCTGCAAAAGAGATCTGAGATCTCAATGGGATTTAAATGACAGACAGACAGACAGACAGACAGACAGACAGACAGACAGACAGACAGACAGACAGACAGACAGACAGACAGACAGACAGACAGACAGACAGACAGATAGATAACTTCATTGATGAACAGCTGAGGGGACCACGACATCTCCATGATTACTGAATGATACACAAGAGGAAAACCATCTGGAAATTAAGTTGTTATCTCGTGAAATGACACGATTAACTCGTTATCATGATATAACAAAAAATATGTAGTTATCTCGAGAAAACCATGGGAAAAATTACTTGTGGAAAATGGCCGTTCTCCTTTTCCGTACTTCAGAAAAATATGAACCAACCAAACAAAAATCTTAAAAGACTGAACAGACTCCTGAAATAAAATAAAACWTTGCAAGAAATCTAAAGCAAACAACAAACTAAACTAACTAAATGACAGTATTGCTCTTATTTTTACAGAAATCAGGAAAGGAACTAAGAACACGAACTAAAACAAAACTGAAATTTTTTAACAAAAACTGTTTGAAGTTAAGAAATATGTCTGTGTTCATGTTCGTTAGCAAAAAATCTCATGAACGACTGAAACAGCTTCTAATGAAAAAAAAAGATCATTGGATGAACTGCTGATCCAACATGGCCACCACGGCTAACTGACCTCATCCAGCACATGAATGGGTCTTAGTTTTATGGATTTTAAGCTAAAACTTTCAACTGAAAGTCATCTGCGACTGATTACATGAGATCTTTGTTTAAAACTTTGCCACAAAATCTTTCTGTTAGCAAAACATGACACAAACCACAAAGCACATTTTAACACAACTTTTTTTAAAGTTATTTTGGAGTCAGTCCAAATCATGATGGCGGCCACAACCGACTGACCTCCGCTGTAATCTGGTAATCTGAGTCGGGGGATTGGAGATTTGATCTGGTTCATGTTATAGAGAAGAAATGAGCACTACTGTTGCTTTCAAACAGCAAATCTTGATTTTAAAAAAAGCCATGAATGTGGGGTTTTGCTAACAGCGATGAAAGTGTTTTTTTTTTACTGATGTTGAGAAAGAAAATCGTGGGATCTATCAACATTTTTATTACAGAAGCAAAACAACAACTAATCTAGGATCTGTTTTCCAGGTTTGAAGTGGTGTTGAAAAAAGTGTTAAAAAACTCATTTTCCATCCTTCTCATTTAGCTTTATTTCCCATCTGTTGTGTTTTTTTTTTCTTCATTTTTTCTTTCTCATTCTTCAAAGTGAAAAGTCYTGTGGAACTGAAGAGGTTCATAGGGTTTAATGAGGATTTTGGCTTTGAGGGGGGTGGAGGGGCGAAGTGTGGTGGTCCTGGGATTGTATCATTCGTGGGCATGCTCCTTCCTGCAGCCGTGACATCACCGCAGCATTCCTTTCCACGGAGCTGGAACAACAGAGACCCCCATCACTCTCCTCATCGCCTGTTAACCCTCTCTGCTCACTCTGACCCACATGCGTCTCGTTTCTTCCTCTAACCTCATCTTTCACTTCGGAGGGGACGGAGAGCAGATTTTAGTTTTTGCACTACAAAGCAACTGTTTTTTCTCTCCAGAGCTCTCACCTAAGATCTCCTCTTTCACAAATCCCAGAGAAGCTGCTCCTGAAGCCYAAACTGCACCAGAAGAAGAGGCTGAGAGGTCCACTGTAACCACACTGCCTGCTCCCATCTGTGGGGCCCAATGGAGCTAATGCCACAAGATTACTGATAGTGAGTCAAGGCTAAAGTTGATATAATGTGGGGGAAGGGAAGAAGGAAAGAGGGAGAAAGGAAAAAAAGGAGGCAGACCCGGTGAGGGAGGTAAAGGGAAAGTGAGGTTGTTGTTTTTTTTTACAGAACAATARGTTGCAGAAGAAAAAGAGAAAAGGTTGGAGGTAGGAGCAGAAGGGAGGCAGGTACAGTCACATCCTGCTGGCACGCAGAAAAGTTTAGAAACGGGAGCCGTCTCTGCTTGTCCACGTCAGGGTGAAAAAAACCTTTATGACTCTGCAATTGTGGAAAAAAAAGACCAACTTTGCTCTATTTGCTGTGACTGCACAGCTTTATTGCACAACTCTGAGGGTGTGTTTGTGTGTGTACGTGTAGGTGCATGCGCATTTCATGGATTGCCAAGTTTTCATAGTGGATGAATGTGTCATGATTTCTTTCTTTCTGTTTTTTTACTGCACTTTTGCCAGAGATTAGCTGTTCACTTTTTATGGTCAGGAGGGAGGCTGTATTGTCATTCAGCCAGAGGAGGAGGAGGGGTCAGCGGACGAGTGAGCTGAGGGAGGGGAGATAGAGAAGGAAAAAGGAGTGGCTTTGCTTTGCAGATAGTCACCCCTCTCCACCGGAGTGAAGTCTTCTCTCAGAAGGAAGAAGAAAGGAGGGAGAGAGACTTTTGTTTCAGGTATGTAGGGGCAGCTCATACAGGGTGTGAGTGGCTTTAAAGGAAACAGGTTGTTTAGATCTGTGCCTTTTAAATCTGAAACCAGCATGCCCAGGAGGGCCAGAAACTGGACTGTTGAGATAAGAATGAAATTTATGGCTCGCTGTCAGTCTCTTTATTGCTGAGGTCATTTCAGCTCCAGGGTTGAGTTGTAAACGTTGTTCTGTGCTCGTCTGCGAAGGTTTCGTACCAGCATGGCATCCGCAGCTACCCCAAAGAGGATGGTGTCCTCCGTCTTCATCACCCTGGCTTCTCCTCATCGAGCCACGGTGACCCAGCAGCAACCTGCCCTCCAGGCCCACAGCGCCTCCGGCAGGGAGCGGAGYGTCAGCCAAGGTGACGGCGTACCTGTCCACACACCCACGAAACTCGACCAGTCCTCCTCTGACGCCCGCAGCTCTGCAAACAGCAAAAACTGGACTCCTGGTACCCCAGTGTCAGACCCTCAGAGCTCCCAGCTTGTMCAAACTGGATCCACCAAAGCAAAGCTGCGAGAAGATCAGAAACAGAGGATCTCTCCGGGTATTTATGATTAAATGTGTTTTTAAAGTGCACTCTAGATATAAAGAAAACYTCAGTTTTTACTGTCCAGCTGGGTTTTATCTCCCCGCTCCCCCTGGTTGGGGGTCACTCCTCTATAATTTGCATTCAAACCCTGTCTTGTCATTTCCACTTCTTTTATTGTCCTCCCTACAGACAAACTGGATCTGATTATTTTTTTCCAGACCATTATTAGATTTCTGTAAGTGATTCAAATCTAGTTCTTGAAAACATTTTTGTACCTGTGGCTGCAGGGGGAGCTGTGTGCAATCACATATCGGCTGATGTTTTAAAAGTGTGCGGTGGTTAAAGCAGAAAGTAAAAGGAAAAAAAGGGCTGAAAATGTGTTGGATTTAAAGAAATGTGAGCTTATTTCAACTTAAGAACAGCAGCCTCGCATTAAAGCCACAACACACCAGGAACAATCTGTTGCTTTTAGTGTCACACCTGAACCTGTCAGGTCTGACCAGGAGAGACTGTTACATCGTTTAAAACTTGCAGTGTTACACTTCTTTGTTGTTTTTATTGATCTCAGGCTAAATTTGAAGGAATTTCTGTGCTGACCTAAAAATATTGTTTTTCTCTTCAAAGCAGAGCTCTTCCCTCCTCCCGATGAACTTCCTGCATCTCTGAAAGGAAAGCTCTCTGAAGAATCGTCACTTCCACCACCCCCTCCATCATTCCCACCACCTCCTTCATCACTCCATCCGCAGAGCCCAAATCAGCATCCAACCAGCAACAAAAAGGTTTTCCAACTTTTCTCTAACAAACAGAGCACCCTCCAAAAACTGGTTGTATGAAAAAAGAAGTGTTTTGTTCCATCAAAGTCCAATCTCAAAACAGGTAAACAAAATTTAGGGAAAACTGGCTAAGCTGGAACAGGAAGTCTATTGTTTTCACTGCCCAGCATCCTTTTTCTATTGTTTCTGCAGTTTTAGACTTTATACAGTTTTTTCCCTGCACATGCTCTCTAGAATGTCCTCTTCCACATTTATGAGTCAACATGTTTAGACCAAAAACTTACCACTCATCAAAACTTTTCATCAACGTTTTTTAGATCCAAACTGAAATATCTGTTTATAATCGCTCTCAGCGTTTTGGCTTTCTTACTAAACATCAGTCACACAGTTCCTTTTGTAACTTAAACCTAATTTTTTCTTTGATTTACATGTGCACTTAGGTTGAAACATGCATACCGTCTAATGGATCGACCCAAAGTGAAGAAATCTGCGAGATTCACAAAAACGGCCAAGAGATGCAAGCACAGAGCAAAGGTAGCAGCATCTCTACCCACAGTGTTTTACCCTGATCAAATAACAACCTGCATAAACATCCGATGATATTCGCTGCAGACGTGTGCGGCTTCTGTCGGAAACCCGTGGCTCTGTCTGAACCTGCGCTAGAGGCCTTGAACAGGACTTACCACGAAGGCTGCTTCCAGTGCAGATCTTGTCACATCCCCCTGGCTGGGAAACAGTACTACAACAAGGCCGGGATCCCACTTTGTGAAAGCTGCTATCAGGTAGATCTGAAAAAAACAAAAAAAAACAAACAAACAACAACATTGATAACAAATCTACAAATTCAAAAAAACTATGTAAAAGAACAAACTATGCAGAGTTTTAGACATCTGAAGTGGGATTCTCATGATAAAACACAAATCTGTGCTTTTTCAGAGGACTGTTTTATTTGTTAAACACTTAACTCTGACCAATGAATTGTTCAGGCTGTAAAAAAGGCACCTGAAATTAAAGAGATGAACCAGGGCTCTGTTCAAACCAAATCTAACAGCTTTACACACACAAATTTAGCCCCAAGTATTCTCAAATCCTAAACCTAAATCAGATCTTTGCTGGATATTTTATTTTCCAGTTTCCTATAGACATGACTTTCAGATATTGTTCCTCTTAGTTAATTTAAGCACATCTCATCCACTTTTCTTTATTTTTAAATTACATACGGCACAATATCTATAGCCAGGTCTATAAACTCCACAGAAAATTAGTGAAAAAGCAGCTAAAGTTCAATGAAAAACTTCCAAAGAGAAARTGGAGAAATCCTTTATCCAGATCACCTTAAAGTTTTCTAACTCATCTGACTAAACTGCAGTTAGTTCAACATAGGGCAGCACGTCTTGCACTGAATTGTTCAAAATACACAAATGTTCTCAATTTGCACAGGGCACTATTGGTAAAAAAAAAATAAGGTTGATATTGCCCTTTTAAGCTTTTTTAGAAATATTGTATTATCTACTATCTGTTTAATTAATCAACTTTTGTTTAGCCACATTGTACACATGTTCAATACTAGACATGCTTTAAAATGTTGTTTTATTTTTCCACAATGCAACAGGAATGCTGGACAAAAGACTGTTATTTTTAGAGGAATGAGAACATGGAATTCCCTTCCCTCATCATTTTTAAATARAACAAATATTAGAGCTTTTAAAAGGGCATTGTAGGGTGTTATAGTTGCACATTTATGAATTGATATACTATGTTATTAATGTTATATTAAGTGTGTGTAATTGTAATTGTTTTGGTAATGTTTGTTTTGCCTTTTTTTTTTTTTTTTGAAGGACCCCAGGAAGAGTAGCCATTGTTACGGCAATGGCTAACGGGGATCCAAATAAAAAATTTTAAAAAGTTTTCTAAAACATCTGGCTCTATGGAGAGAAAAAAAGACATGTGAGAAGTTTAAAACTTTTGCACATTAATGAAATCAACAAATGTCTTTTGTTGCTTTTGTTGTGTTTTCAAAATAAATTCTTACTCTGTGAATTTTAAAAATGTTCAGAARAGAGAGAAGCCTTTAAATCAGGTGACATCAAATCACCTTTTAAACTGCTTGATTAACTAACAAGAACAGTCACCTGTGAACAGCTTTAAAYTAAAAACAATTAAAAAGTCAAAAATCTGAACAGAAGTCCCATAAATCTAARGAACCGCCACCTGTTTTGTACATTTCAGGCTAGTTTGGAGCTGTGCTGGGCTTGTGGGGAGGCTATCACAGATCAGATAATCCGTGCACTGGAGCGAGCGTACCATCTCTCCTGTTTCACCTGCAAAACATGCAAACAGCAGATTGGAGAGCAGACGTTTGCTCAGGGGGAAGTTGGAGAAGTTTACTGCCTCCAGGACTACTACAAGTACGACAGCAAACGATTATGACAAAAAATATATTTTATGAATGCATTTTCTGAGTTTAGAAAATGCWAAATGCAACAAATGTCTTCACTTTTTGTCTTCTTTATAACTGTATGTATTAAAGGAAATATGCACCAAAGTGTAGCTCCTGTAACCAGCTCATTATTCCAAAAGAAGACGGCACTGACAGCTACACTGTTGAGTGTTTTGGGCGTTCTTACCATGAGAACTGCTACAGGTGTGAGGTAAGCATTCACTGTGCAGCCAACTATAAAAAGACCTCAGATACAGTCGTCGCCGGTTGTTTTTAAAGTCTTCCCTCTCGTCCGCAGGTCTGCATCATCCAGCTTTCCCCTGAACCAAACGAGCACGGCTGCTACCCTTACGACGGGAAAATGCTCTGCAAATCCTGTCACCTGAACTTGGTTTCTGGGCAGCAGTAACAAGACTTGGATCCGAGAGCTCGGACCTGTTCAACAAGAGACTGTGCATTTACAAACGTCATAACACTTTTTCCAATGGAATGTTTATTATCTTCACATAACAATGATTCTGCTTCATACCTGATAAGTTTGCACTCAAAAAAAGAAACAAATTTATGCAACTGGCTTCACGATGAACATCTCAACTGGTATGCTTGACCTTAGTAAAGAAAGTTTAAGAAATATAATAATATAATGCAAATTATATCCAATTTCAACAAACATACAAGTAACAGAACATGTTGCATAAACAGTATAAAAGTATTTCAATCATATCTATGCAAAAAAAAAACATAAATCAAGAAAGGCTGCCATATGAATTATATTTTATATTATCATGGAAATATACCATTCACACTGATTTGACCATATATTAACATTCCAAATATTTTTAAATGTATATATATTTCTCAAAATACTTACAGAATTAAATATGTATACAATCTTTGTCTTGAAAAATAAGAGTTTTCCTGTTTGTGTTTTTGAGCGTTGCTGTAAGCTATTAATGGAACCAGATGCAGCCAAAGCTTTGATTTTGTTGCATCACTGTCCTGAATTTATGATTCTCCTTTGTTTCTTTGTTCAACCCATAGTTTTGAGCTAAGGCCACAAATCCCTCAGCTGAGTCATAGCATAACGACTGCTCAGTTCTTTCTTCGTAGTTTTACACGCCTTTTTTTAAAGACAGTTTGAGAATTGGTTTGGTTTATGTAACCAGTGTGAGCTGGTGAGTCAATCAAACCAATTTGAGGAACTTTATAATCCACTTTCATGGCATTTGTCTAAACGCATTTAAGACAACTAGGCTAGTCCATCAGCATCCTAGAGAGATGCAGTCTGGTGTAAGACATCAGAGATAAAAGCGGGGTTCACACCTTGGTCAACATCAAATTCAAGGACCTTTCAAGGACTTTCCAATTTCCTCAAATTAAAGAACCATGCGCAACGGCAATTATCTACTGCTACTGCAGAATGTTACCAATAAACAGGTTTAATATCATGTAAATTCAATGAAAAACTGAACAACATAGAAGT